GCATAAACAAACATTTTGTAAAAGAAAACGACCAAGTCTACCAGAACGCAACTGGATTTCTATACGACCAAAACACCGTTATCACGACAACATTCCCAAAAAAAAAAACATTATTTTAAAGTTAAAGTTTAAATAACAATTTTTCCCATATCTTCTACTAATTGAATTCTTTAAAAATATTTATGACTTCTAATATAAGTAAACTAATAATAACAACTCAAACCTAGTCTTAAAAATTTATCATTTGGCACAAAAAAACTGGCATCAATGCAAGGTTAGCCAAGCTTCTAAACTTAATTATATCAGTGAGCATTACAATAATGAGTTGTTTACCTGACACTCAAAGTGCCTTTTGACCCATTGCTGTTGTGTTGCTCTTTGTGCTAGCTTTGCGTTTGGATGCGGCAAATGCAGTAGGCCAACCGGTCTATGTGTGGCGCCACATTTTTGCCTGCATTTTGTCCAATCAATAAATTTGTCATTGTATTTTTGCTGTGTAAGTGTGTTTTTGACCTTGCTTGAAAATGTTGTTTTCTATTGTGATATTGGTGCAATTACGAAATGACAAATGTTATGTAATATTTCTATGTCGACAGTAAGTCTAGTTAGAAAAATTACTGAAAAATATATGATTCTTATCAGTCAATATTTGTTCTATTCTGGTATTTTGTGTTGTGTATATTTTTATGGAAACTGTTAAATAAATAAATTCTCGTTACGCCAGACAATATATGTAATATAGATATGGACTAAAATTTTGATAACTTAAAATTCAGCATGTTGAAGATTTTATAGAATAACAATGTGGAATATGTTTGAGAATTTTGAAATTTATATAATTTGCCAAAATGAAGAGGACAAATGGTTTTTGAATACAGCTAAAATGGTGTCTTGTTTGAAATATTATTAACCGTATGGTTTTTGGGTACAGTACTTCTTGGCTATCGACAATATTTTTTAATTTTTATACATACTTATAAACATGGTGGAATAGAAAATAATACCATATTCATGGTACATTTAGTCACATTTTTCTTAACTCCATGTCAAAAATCACACTAAACAAACAAATTTGTAACTTTCTGATAAGTGTCTTAATCATTTTAATTGTTTTCGTTTGTGCGTTTTATCACAAATATTGTTCATGCATACTAAAAACTCGTATATATGTAATAAAAATATTTTAAATGTAGTAAGTGTATTGTACTCAAAATAAAAACTTATTTTCAAGAAAAACTTGGCAACATATATAAAGTATCAGCTTTAGAAAAGTAGGACAGTGATCTTTAATATAACTATCAACTAACAAATCGGATCAACGTCCCAATATAATCAATAATAAGATATTCCTATAGGTATAATAGAAAGATCACATAACGTGTATTTACGTTAAAATATATATGTATATGTACAATATATATCATATGATAGAGAAAAATTGTGTGAAAATCGATAAGCCACAGATGTGATTACACAGGTGATTTTTTAAGGCCAATGTCGGCCATGAGCTCGCACTTATACACCAAGCAGTTGTCATAAGCACCAGCGTGAACTCTATAGCTTAAAACATATGAGTTGAGTTGATATTTCTTTCCCGCATTGTAAAACCAAACCAAAGATACAAATTTGATAGGAAAAACTTAGGAAATTATATTTATTTTGCTATATGCCCTTGTCTTTTATAAGTACAATAGTTGGGTGTTATTATCTACAATAAATACCAAATTTTAATTACAATGATAATTTAAATTTTAAATTACTCTAATTTCGTACTATTACCTAAATAATTTAAAAAACCTTATTTTCCTTTTCATGTTTGTATTATTTGGATTCTGACTGTTTGAATTGATTGCATATGTTTTCTGAGAATTCTAATATAAAATACACAGATGTTTTTTTTTGAACAATTATTTAAAAACAGAGGTGTAATTGAAAGTCTTCTTCTTATTTCTATAAAACCCTTTAAACAAAAACAACAAAATTCACTTTTAGCTGATTTTAATGGTGGAAAGTAAATAAATATAGCGAGTTTTATAACTTATCTTATCGCACTTCTGTAATTAACCAATTGCGTTCATACATTCATGCAAACATATAAGTTAAATGGTTTGTAGATATTGATATTTTCTAATCTACACATACTGTTGCATACGTACATTGAAATCTACAATATATATGTACATAATATTATAAGTGCGGCTCAAATCATTTCAAGATAAGAACAGTTACGATATAAGAAATGACTTCCAATTTTAATGTTCCACGCAAATTTTTTTTTATTAAATATTTTATGTTAACTTTTTATGCATTATAATTTCTGCAAAAAAAAAAGATTAATATTACGAATATTAACGAATTTTTGTTTTTCGTTTTTTGTTTTCTTGTTTTTTATAGTTTCATTGTTAATTTTTATTTTATGTTTTTTTTTTAATCGGACCTTATATGTGAAGTAATATTTTATAGCTATGAATAATAGTTAAACGAAATATATGTTGTTGTGCATACTACTCACCTGACACTTTTTGCCCAACAAACTGAAGACAACTTCATTCTCTTCCCTGGTCAATAAGTCACTAGATGCATTCATCTTTGGTCGCGTGCCCGACCCCGCATGCCCCTCTTGTAGTCTCATAGTTGAACTCATTTGTAAGTTTACTTATTTCCGAATTATTTTACTTATTTAAAGTAATACAAGCTTCACGTAATTTATATTAATATTTTATATAAACTAATAACAAATAAAGCTATGGGATCTCTTTTGACTTTTGTCAAGCATAACGCTCAATGCTTAATATCAATTTAATTTGAAGTACTGATCAAAGTTTCAAAACCATCTACAAAAAGACCGAATTACACTTTCAATATGCAGAAATGGAATGACATGAAAGTAAAAAAAAAAAAAAAATCAAACGCAAATTACTACTTATAAGTATTATATATTGCTAAAAACCAGTCAGTCTAGTGACACACGTTTCGTCACCAACTGAAAAGTTGTAATAATTAAAGGTGCTGAAGAAGCGGCCCAAATTGTAGTGAAATAAGCTCTGCTGATACCGTTGAGTCACTACCAATTCCACCGTCACAATCTATTAATTTTTTGTTTAGTTTTAATACACTTATGAATATACTCTTGCCCTACTACAATAGAAATTCAATATATTTAAATATAAATATGGCATAATCCCTCTTTGGTAATATACTGACCAAATTTAATGTAATATAGTTAAAGTTAATCTAATAATAACTAATATGTATTTTTCTTTGAATCAGCATTTCTTCATGTTTTAATTATGGTTTTTCAGTGGGCGTGGACACGTTGTCTGCAATAAATTTTTAAGTTGTTTATGGTGGAAGATTATTACAAAAGCAGTATGCCACTTATTTATAGGCCCAGAACCATTGATTTTTCGGGGTTTTTTAAAGATTTCTTTATGAGTAAAGTTGTTTGTACAATTCTCTATTTTGAATTTCACGTATAGTATACAAGTTGTTCTTTGCTTTTCACATTATGACAGGTTTGATTTCGATAATTTCTCAAAATGATAAATTATCTTTAAAACATCTAATTTTTTTTATTGTCGTTATTTAACAAGCGATCCGCAATAAGAAGTTGTAAAACCAAAATGCAAACGAATCGAAAAATTTTGCAATAAGAAACTTTTTATTAGAAATTTTTCACCACCGACATTAAACGTCAAACTCTAATTGACAAACAAGGTAACGGAATGAAATGGGCACATTCACGAATTGCTAACTGAAACATATGAAAGCAAACTTAGACGGACTGACATAGGCACCATAGAAGAAATTTTTTTCATGGGTTATTGATTCCAAAAGTATTGAATAGTTGTTCATTTTAGTTTATTAATAAGCTGCGATACAAACATATAAAATTTTCTAAATGCCTTACTGTTATGTTCTGATTCCATAAGTTCGGTTGTAACATTTTTACAGAGTTGCATTATGAAATGTTCACAAAAACCATATTTGACATTATTGCCAACACTTTGAGTAAAAAAATAAAGTTGTAATCCTGCTAATATGGTTATATTTACTACCAGATAACTTCTTTGCACATAATTAAAGTCTTATTTAAATTATTCAAATAAAGTGAAAAGTTTGTAACCATACGTATCAATATTAACCTATAAATAGTTACCGATAATAAAACGGAATCAAAGTTTTATTCACAACTATTTGTAAAAAGTGTTACCAGAGTTCTTAAGAAAAATAAATTATTTTTTATAGTTACAATATTTTTTTTTAAACATTTCAATAGCACAAATAACTTAATAAATATTTAAGTATTATCAGCAGACAACTTTTAAACAAACTGTCAGGAATTTCAATTGAGACTAAAATAGAATCATCGAACCAAAACTCGTAGTAATAGTAATTTTAATTAAAATATGTAATTAATATTAAAAATAAGTTATAAAATAAAATAAGTTAGAATTTTGTTGCAAAACCTTTAATTGCGAGTACGGCAGCGCACCTTTTCGGCATAGATTCCATCAGAGCATTACAGACTGAATTCGGTATTGAATACCACGCCTCTTAGACTATTTCCCATAGTTCCCCCTTATTTCGTGGTTTAATGGGTTCCAACTTTTCCTTTACAATCTTTAACATATTTCCTATATAATTTAAATTCGGAGATTGCACCGGTAAAGTCATAAAATTGATTAACTGATCCCGTAGCCAAGTCTTGACCACATCCGAGTTATACGTCGGGTCATTGTCATCCTGGAACTGCTAAAATAAAGGCATGTTCCATTCAGCATAAGTAAGCATTACATCTTTGCTATCACCTCCGTGTTAAAAAGTTTTTGCCTGGGACGCGGGGATTCATTTCAGCATTGTTCGGACGTCGAACCCAAACTTTTGCATCGATACATATCATATTTAATTTTGGTTCATCGGACCAAGGATCTTACGACACTTTTTTCGTATTTGCTTCATCGGTCCTATTGTTATGCGCTGAATCAAAAACAATCCTATTGTTCCGCTGTCTATTTGTCAACAGTGGGACTTTTCGAGACAACTCTTCGAAGAGATTATTTTCTACAAAGCGACGCACAACAGTACTCGAAGATATTTCTACACCTAATCCTCTTTGATAGCTATAGAGGACATGAAAGGATCGCGTTTTAATAATATTTCTATGTAATTGTCATAACGAGACGTCGTTTTTCGTGCCCGTCCCCTCATTACGCATTTTTTTTGGAGGTTTCAAAGCAGTAAACACAAATTTTTGGGAACTTTTTATAATTTTTGCGATTTCCTTTTGGGTATAACCGTTATGTTGCAAATTTTTTGTGAGCTTACGCTCTCCCGATTTGCAATGCTGTCCTCGGCCTATTTTTTCCACAAATGTTACTTAATTGTAACAAAATGTCAAGTTTAAACAAATATCCTAAAAAAATATACATATAAATACTTACAATATAATTGTTTCCTAATTTACGCCTTTAATTGATATTTTTATTCCTTAATTCAATTTTTTTTCAAATTCACACTTTTGTTTAACAAGACTATTGACAAGGAAATTTTAAAGACAGTAATTTTTGACATATGCTGCCAGTAAATGTCAAAATATTTCACCTCAACATAAACATGTATGCAAAAACATCAAAACAAGAAATTTTGGTAATATTATATGATGTTCCCATCACAAATTTGAAATGATTAGATTATATTTAATCCTCCGAGCTGCGACATTAGATTATATTTAATTTTTTCACTAATTTAGGCTGTTCTCGCTGCCGTTGGAGATTTATAAAATAGCTGTCGAAACTGTAGCATTTTTTCTCGCCACAACTCTGTTAAATCGGCACCGGCAGCCTTATTCCACATTACTTTCCTTTTTTTGATACTATTTTCTACCATTTTCACTTATTTACTTGATATTGCTTAGATTTTTTACTTTTTGTTTTATTTGTTTGTTTAATTTTTTTTTTACTTTGAGAGTTTGTAGTGTTTAAATCAGCTGTGATAACGTGATACATTTCCCTACTGACAAATAGATGGCGCTCAGTAGGAGTCACACAGAAAGATTTCGGGTAGATTAGCTTCAAATTTCCTCGGTGACGAGATTAACAAGTGTCATTTTCGTATGGCGAAATCTTGCTGAATCTAGTAGATTAGTGAGATAATCTACTGAACAGGCCAAATCTCGTAACTAAGTGTCGGTCGGAACATGGTATAAGATTACTGTTAATCAATTCAGAATTTTTAAACTATAAACTAGACTGTCCATAATTTTTATACTCACACAACATGTTGCTACAGAGTATAATAGTTTTGTTCATCTAACGGTTGTTCGTATCGTAATGAAACTTTGTACATGTGCTTAGCTAAAATTTTTTAAAAAAGTACCTGGCCACGCACTCTAATGTTCATATCTCCTAAGTCCCTAAAGCTACAGAAACCAAATTCGCTTAGGAAAAAATCCTTTAAGAGCCTCTATCGACCCTCCCCATACAACGGTTATGTTAAAAAATACTAAGAGTGCGATTATCCATAACTAAATGCTTCAGAGATATAAAACTATATAGCCGAGATGGTATGAGAGGGCTTTATAGGAACCGGTGTCAAATTTGTACGACGGGCGTGGCAACCCGCACATTTAGGTGAAATTCCATATCACAGAACCTACTAAACGGATTTCAACCAAATTCGGTATGTAAAATTACCCTTATATTCCTAGATTAAAATTAGATATGAAATTCGCGAAAACAGGCCGAAAACAGGCCAAAACCACGCCTACTTCCCATATAACACAATTCCATCTGATGCTTTCACTTTCCAGTAAATCAAGAATCAATTAATGTGTCCGGATAAAACTTTGCTCAAAAAGTTTCCTCAAGGTAGTTAATTTTACGCCCAAAAATTGTCGAAATCGGACCATAACTTTTCAATAACCCAGACGTGTTAACATTTTGCCGATAATATGGGTCAATCTGTGAGATATATTACTGAGATTCGGGGAAAGTTTAATAATATTATACTTTTGTGTGAAAAATGGGTTGAATTGGATCAATACGTCCTTTAGCCCCTTATACCTAACATGAAGATTTTCGAACTTCCAAATGGCTTTATTTATTATTAATGAAATTGAGAGAGCGTATTTTTCTAATAAATGTGTAACTCCGTGCCTAAAATGGATAAAATCCATATAACTAATATTCAAGAATTTGAAACGTCCGGCTGACGTTACTCCATATATATGTTTATACTTGTATTTATAAAATTGCTAGAATCCACCCACTGATAGGTCTATCTTACTTGTTTTACACGATTCCGTTTGTACTGCCAAAGCAAATCATATTGTGCTACAGCAGTTTTAACATGACGAAGTTGTGAATATTTAGTTGAATCAACGCAGACAATTTTTATACTGTATTTGTATGTATTTCATCTAAGAAAAAAAAAACCCTAGCTTAGTTTTTTTTAAGTATTTTTATACCCAAGGAGTTATCAAAACACGTTTAATTGCAATCGAAACTAACGGAATGAACAGAAAACGGGCTGTTTCGACGGCGTCGGATCATGGAGAGATATGCATTAGAAGAGTAGGTTTTACAGGGCATGTAATGGGGTGGATAGTGTTATGCCGGGAGTCTTTGCATACAGGACATTATATTGGTTTAGTATGCGTTTGAAGTTGGTCGCGCCCCATTTTTATTTGGTTAAATGTTATATGTCGTCTACGTACACTCAAGAACAAATTTGACTGGTCTACTAAATTTTGCTTGTAAGCTGAATCAATAAATATTTTGTTCTTATATTGGTACAATCTTTCAGTTTCGAAAACAGAAAAAACTACGAATACGGTGGCTGAGCGATGACTGTCGTTTTGTGTTGATTTTTAGCCTTCCAATTTGATCCCATATTAGTGTACAGAACTAATACATACAGCATTTCTCATTCACCTTTCACCTTTCTCTGTAATACGTTTGTATTTTTATTTGTGATAATGATCTTAAACCATTGATTGACATTTCGTGCAACAGATTTCCAAAAAACTTGTGTACATACAATCATATGTATATACTTGTACTATGGAAATACTACACTCACGGCACATACAAGTATGTAAACTTATCTTGTAATCTTGGATAATCTACGTAAACGTAATTTACGCTCGAACTTGGCGTTGCATTGGTTGTTATTTTTTAAAATATTCTAACGCTTCATAACCATAAACAAAAAAATTGAATTAAATCGCTCGAAGTTCGAGCATCGCATTGACTAGCTTCCTCTGCTGCATAAGTATGTATAAAAACATAAATATGTTTATATATGCATTGAGACAATATCCGTTAACACTAATTGGCATATAACGTAGCTGATTACGTGAAATGCAACAAAAAAGGAAATTAATGAAAACATCATCAATCTATGTAGACTGGTGCTTTAGACTTTCATTTAGTAATTCTTCATCTTTATGGAAATAATCGATTAATGAAGGCATCTGTCTATTAAATGATTGATACTTTATTTATTTAGTTCACTTATTTATGTCTAATTTAAGACTTGGATTTGTTGATTCTGGTTTGAGTAATTATAATTTGGAAGTAAGTAAGCATTCTGAGCGCCTTATATGCGTTGAAGCTCTAGAGTGTAAAGTTGACATCCAGATGTATAATTATTGAAGTATTCTCTCTAAATTTTGGAAGCGTTAAATAACCCGGACGTGTGTCAAGAAAATATTACAGAAACGTGGATAAATGTGCAATAAAACACATATTTTTTGTATGTGTACTTTCGATGTCACGTTTTCTCGTTCACCTGTCTGGCCGCGAAGAAAAGCATTTAAATGTTCTCAGCCCACCTGGTCATTGCAAGAGCAAATCGCTCCTGTAAATACTCCAGCAGGTTTTCGCATGTTCAAAATATTTAATTTATGCCATACATATCACTTGCACAAATGCACTTTTACAGATTTTACAAACTTTCACAATCCAATTATTAAAAGTTCATTGTCTTTAGCTCGGCTCTGCGTCGCTGTAAATTACTCAGTGCTGTGACAAATACCTTTCTTTGAATTATAACACATAGGTATACATATGAATGTTCCCAGTGCACAAATGTGCACATAATTTGTGAAAAAATTGTTCTCGTAAAAATCTATGTATGTAAATAAAATAAAGCCATGTAGATAAATTTCTCAATATAAGTCTCTTTTAGCTCGATACATTTGACTCAATGATGCTCCAACTCATCTGAAAAGTACGTTTTCTTGTGACGGCTGAGGTGTGAGCCGAATTGTTGTCATTGTGGATAAGCACTCTCTCTTCGCCAATTGAGACCATTTTTCCTGCAATTTAGCGTCGAATGGGTTTAATAAGTCGGCATAATAGAGTTGCTATGGAGATGTTACACGGTTGTCCAGCCGTGTTGTTCTATCGCGCCGACAGCTTTCTAATCCGCAATATTTCATGCAAGATATGCCCCAGGCGGTATTTTTAAATGCCTTCTCTTTCAGCTGTCCTTTAATCAGCGGTCTTCTAGTACGAAGATGTGGACTTTTGTCACCTTATCCTCTGTGCTATTCATTTTCCTTGCATTTGCATGTGGTTCATTAAAAATCAAAGTTGTAGCAAAGCTGAAAATCGTTAAACCAAATTTGACGAGATCTATCGAAGGAGAACTCTTTGATTTCTTTGGTCTATATTACAGACTACCCAATACTATGTTAAGGTTATAAATAAATAATAAATTCTATTACAATAATAAAAATTCGAGGGACATATAGGACTACCGTCATATTAATAAACTACATACATAGCGCAAAGCTGTTTGTTTGTTTTCTTGTCCTGTCTGTTTTCCAACATTTATGTTTTTATGATGGTCAAATGCAAATATATATGTATATAACCTTAAAACAAAATAACGAATTTATTAAAACAAGAAAAAAAGTTAACATCGGTTGCACCGAAGCTATAGTACCCTTCACATATACAATGGTTCCCTACAAAGACTTGATTCCGATCGTGAAGATACCTCGTCAAATGAAAAAGTTTCCATGCAAGCACTTGATACCGATCATTTAGTTTGTATGGCAGCTGTATGATATTGTGATCTGATCTGAACAATTTCTTCGATACCTAATTTCGTGAAGATACCTCGTCAAATAAAAAGGTTTTCCATGCAAGCACTTTACTTCGATGTCCAGACGGACAGACAGATAAACATGGTAAAATCAACTTAGTTCATCATGCTGATCATTTGTATATAGTTTAGGCGGGCTCCAACGTTTCCTTCTGATAGATTGGTTCAATTGGTTGATCTCCATATGGCAATTAGTGTGCGTTTGGCAGCTGTTTGCTTACGACACGAACAATTTGTCTGGCAAGTTTTACCATGAAAAAAAATTGAACAACGAGTTTGCTTGTTGTGTTTGCGATTATGAAATCGTTGACAGTCTACTTTATACCGAACACGACCTTTACGTGAAGTCTCGAACCATTTTGTCTTAATGATCGAAAAGGTTTAAGAAACGCCAGAGGATCTCAACATCTTATGGATCGGCACAATTTTGGTCATTCAGTTTTGGGTGTCAATGCTAGACACGAATCTTTTGCAAAATACGACGTCGAGAATAAGTAGCAAAAGATATGCTTGACAACGTAGCTGAGGACCCTACATTCATCAAACGCATCATTACTGGTGCCAAATAAATGACGTCAAACTGTCCAACAATCTAGCGTATGGAGAATTGCGTCGGCATGCTTGTAATAGCTTAAAATAAGCTTATTATGAAGGCGATAATAACGATTTGTATTAAAATACGTGAAAATGTAGTTTATTTTTGTCAGCCCGTGTCAAATTTAGTGTAATTTCCTCGCCGCTGAAAGATGACAAATTATTTACTAACAAAGAATAAATATAAAAGTCCATTGAGAGTTTGTAGTATTTTACCCAATTAGTTACTATATAGTAAACTTATAAATACATATTTATATACTTATATATGTAGCTATTAAGCTGCCATTATTAAATTGTTAAATAATGGCAACCCGAAAAGCTTCCTGAATCATTTATTTTAGACATTTACTTATTTCATTTCGTATTGAATATCTCTGTTTTGTTACTGAACGAT